TAAGGGTGTACACATACTGTTTGTTAGGAAAGAATATAAGAGAATTTGAAAGAGACACAAGAGGCTGAAGAATAAGAAAGGCCAGCTCCAAATGTGCAGAAGGACTAACGTGCTCTACAAAGAAACAGAGCAGAGATCTGACCCCAAAAAATCAGACTGCACCTAGATAATAGACATGAGACACTCAACAAGGTACTGTCACTTTCTATCCCTTTCCAACAAAGACTGTGCCCCACCTGGGCTTAACAAGATAGAGGGTTGTTATAGATCCCAATGTCTGACATGCACAGGAAGGAGGAAATAGTTTGTTATATATACTTCATATCAACAGTTCAAAGAGCCAGTGTGGGGCAACCAGAGAATGGGCTGTTTACGTAAGAAGAAGGAAAGAGTAACTAGGGAGCTGTCTAAAGAATGGAGACTTAGATTACATCCGGGTTCAGTCCACTGGGCTCACCTAGCACACCCATCTTATTCTGCAAATAAAAACCAATAATATATGCTACAGCATGGAGAAAGGGTCAAGCTCGGTGACCCAGGCTCCAATCTGACTTTGCATCAAATCATCAGTCTGGGAAGTTAGCTAATACCCACTAATATACCCAGATTCCAGGTTCTGATTCAGTAGGTCTAAAATAAGAGCCTGGATTTGTTAAGAAAATAACACTCCAGAGGATCTGGCATCAAGAACAAACCAAGGCCTCTATGAATGAGCAGCCATGAATGGGGAGCTACATGATACAGAAGCCCCTGATTAGATAAGCATTCCTCCTGAAAGGCAGTAATGTGGAGGATGCTGGGTAGACCATTAATATTCAGCTGGTGACAAGGCCTCCAGCCAACCAACCCAGATGAAGATGAGCAGGAAAGTACACTAGGCAATAAGTACATCCAGCTAAGGTTTAGTTAAATGATAGTGACTAAACTTTAGTTATACAATAGTAAAGAGTGGACCCTTAAAGATCTGTTGATTTTGTGCTTTTGTAACTTCTTGTATAGGCTTTCCTTTTCCTTTAGTTATTGGTAACGCTGCCTCTAAAAGATATATCTAGGCCAAACTGTAAGAAAAAAAAAATTGAGACTAGTCCATGTTTGAATGATTAATTTTACCCTATTTGTAAAGTAACCTTTTCAACCCAGCCACCTTAACATACTTTTATCTCATTTCATATTCACAAGAATCTTAAGAAAGTAACATTCCCAACTTACAGACAAGAAAACTCAAACATGAGAGCATTCATGATCGTGGAAATGTGATAACCCATAAACAGTCCACAATTAAGACAGAATTTTCCTACTTTCTAAGATTCAGAAGGAGTATTCAAAGTACAAACTCTCTAATCTAGTCAAGAAATAGATGGTTTGATTGCTTAAATACCTTAATGGACCAGCCTCCAGGCTGGATGAGTAGGAAAGATGAAAAATAGTACCTGGCAAGAGTAAAGGAAGTATCTATATTAATAGCATTCCAAAGTCTCAGTAAGATAAAATATATTCACACAAATTCTACTGAACCTCATTTACAATGTGACAATTGGAAAAGGATCTTCCCCTAGTAAATTCATTTAAGCATTTTATTAAGCACCCAGCATCTGGAAAATACTAGCCCTATGGGAAATACAGACATGAGTAAGCTCTTGTTCCTGTTCTTGAGGACTCAGCAATCTGTAGGAGAGATAAGACAAATACACAAACAACCAGACTTCAAGCAGAATGTTATTCATAAAAGAGGTATGGACAAATTCTGGTGGGCATCTGTGATTATGAAGGCCAACTATAAATCATTTTGGAGCCAAGCAAAACTGCTGGTTAGAAGATTTCCAGGCAGAGCGCAGCATATTAGTTCTTTCTGTGAACTATAAAATATAAACGTGGTTATTTTGCGAACTACCTTTACTATATCAGCAAAAGCAAGAATTTCCCAAAGATTTAAAAACATATGTTCATTCATACCCAAAAAGTTATTTTAGTTTTAGACTCTCTGAACTGTTTAACTCACTCAGCACAGATGCCACTATTTTGGTTATTCATAAAATTAAGGATGGGAACAATAATCAAAGAATACAGCAAACACTGAGGAAAGTTAATGCCAAGAGGTTCAGTTTTCTTACTCATTTGGAGAGCTGTTTGCATTTATAGGGCACAGTAACAAGAAAAATACCTTCCTTTGCCCTCCTTTATAACTTACAATGATAATTCACTTAATACATATTTAATTCCTAAAGAATTCAGGGAGAGGAAAAACATTCAGGATTTTCATAAAGGTTCTTCAAGGTGTCAGAATAAAACAATTATTAAATTTAAATTGTTCCATTTTGGTACATTTTAGTCTTCCAAAAATTGTATAAAAAAGACCTACTATCAGATTTCAGTGATTCTCTACCATGAAATACAAAATACACCCATCATGCGCAGTGCAAAAATCCTAACCACTTTTAATCCGTAAAGAATTGCCACTACAGGTACAATTATTTGCTAGCTATGTTTAAAAACTAGAAAAATCTGTAAATACTTGCTTCTGTCACTGACAATAGACTACTGTCTTTTTAGGAAAAACAGTGACACCACTGAGGAGCAAATACCCACTTCAGTGGTTACTCTATTAAAGCATCCAAGGTGGAATGACGACTTGAAGCAAAATCCCTAAGATAATAAAGGCAAATTTTACTTCATATGATTCTTAAAAAGATTAAAAGATTTTGATTCTTGCATATATTTTAAACAGCAGGGTGCTCTAGTAAAACATCATGAACTTTTGAGATAGATGACTAAAGATCACAAAAGATTTATTATAATGAGAAAGTTCATCTGAGAAAATTCCTCAAGTTGACTGAGTTTCAACTGGCTCAGCTGTAAAGTTTAATCAGTTAGCACATTATTTATTAAATATCAAATAATAGTCTAGTTCAGGCATATAGTCATGAACTAATCATTGTCAGATAGCTTATATTCTAATAGTGAAGGTATACAAAAATGTACAGAAAATGTAAATAGAAATTTTAAAACTCAGCATGTCAAATGATGATGAGTATTACAAAGAAAAATAATGCAGGGAGGAGGTTTCAAAGAATGTTGAGGAAGGTCTCAGTCAAAAAGAACACTTAGACCAAGGCCCCAAAGAAGTGAAAAAGAAAGTCCTGTGAATACCAGGAATCCTAAAGGAAGAGCATTAGCAAAGGCCCTGAGGTAGGAACATGCTTAGCTTGTTGAAAGAACAGTAAGAAAGCCAATGTGATTAGTGCAAGGTGATAGAAGGGAAGGAAAAACAGAAAAATGAGATCAGAGAAAGAAGGCAAGGAGTGGCTAGGACAAGGACCTGCAAGACATCAAGTCTACTGGGGAAGGGCATTGTCTTTTCCTCAGCATGAAATGGGAAGCCATTAGAGGCTTGAAATAGGAAGTGTTTGATCTAGCATATATCAGAAAGACCAAAGGCCATGTTAAGGGGTTTTTTAAACTTGAAAGTAATGTACAAATGTGAAGCATTCATTCGTGTGTGTGTGTGTATCTATCTATCTATCTATCTATATATATATATATATATATATATATATATATATATATATATATTTTTTTTTTACATGAGATAGCATTACCAAACTTGTCTTCTGCACAAAAGTGGTAAACACTATGGGCAATTCTCTCCACTTCTCTTACACGTATCTAAGAAATTAAGAATCTGTTTGCTTGTTTTTGCTTTTATATCAAACCAAGGAACAAAGATATTTCAACATGAAATGAAGATTAACAAGGTGAAAAACAATCACACCACTAATCAAACAGAAAAAATGATAGTCATGAAATGATATGTTCTTAATAAGTGTTTTCTTCTGACTTGCCCAGAATGGAAAAGGGAAGTTTAAGTGTAAGAGATTCTCTTGTTATCACAACGACCAGCCAAGTCATACTTCTTCCTAGTAAAATTTCTTAGTTATTGGGATATATCAAATGTAGGAATTTTTCATTATGAAATGCAAGTATAAGGTAAACAGTTAAAATTAGTGAACCATATCAATGTATTTTATGGTACTAAACAGCTCATCATTACATTACTTTTTAGAGGCATCAGAGCAATTGATGGCCCTGTCAATTTGTGAGGAAAAATAGTATGAGGACACTGGAAATGGAAATTTAAGTGACTGCTCCCAATTCTAGCCTAAGTCATCTTTCTTTTCTGTCATTTTGATTTTGTCTTTTAACCTAATGTGTACCCACCACTATTGCTTTATGAAAACAATGCATATTCTCAAAATTAGTAAATACCCCAAACTCCAGTACCATGTTGCCAGCTGTTGATTGAACATCTGATTATCACTGCTGGCAACAAATAATCCCACTAGCCCAACAGTTCTAAGCACTTTAACTTTGTGAAATAACGCATTCCACCTAAATCCACGTTCTAAGGAGGGTGCAATTATTATCTCCATCGTATATTTGAAAGTTAAATAGCCTAAAGTCACACACTTAGTAAGAACAGGATCTAGATTTGGAGCCTGAGCATTTTTGCCCCAGAAAGGTACCTTTAATCCCTGCTGCACCGCAACAATGCCTCAACTCTGTACCTAAACTCAGTACACACAAAACTTATCATCTACTCTCTCCTACCTTTCACTGTGCTCTTCGAATAGAAAGCAATCTAAATTTCAGTCACCTGACCTCAAAAAAAAATCTCTTAAGCCTCCCACAGGCACTTGAGGCTGCCTGGCCTGCCATTATGTCAAAATTTTCCGAAGTACAGGCCAGAGAATAGGCCCACGGCTAGAACGCCTCCTAAACGCGGGGGTGTGTCCGCGCGCTTCACCTCGCACCAGGAACCCTCCCAGGGACAGGCGACCACCTCCTCACTCTGCTCCCTGAAAGGAACTTTCGCCGCCCTTCCTCGCCTTGCCAGGGGTCCGCCTCACCCTCCAGCAAACCAACACGCCCAACTCCGCGCCCTCTACCACCTCACTCTTGTCTCTCGCTCCCTAGAGCCCTGAAGTAGCACCAGCAGCCTTTACCTGCTCTTCTGCTTCCGCCATGGTGCCGCCGTACGGTCACATGACCGATCCGGAAATGAGAGGAAACCCCCGACGCTGGCCTCGAGGCCTGCTGGGAAATGTAGTTCTAGCCGCCCGGCGCCTGGCCGTCCTATCTAACTTGGAAAACTGGTTTGGCCTCAACTATGCAACCTCTGCGGAGTCCTGCTTTGGAGAGTCTGAACAGAACCATTGTTAATGCTATGATTTATTTTATTGTAGTTCTAGTTTCCGAGGTTATTATTGTGTTTCCTAAGCACTTCATATATATCAGACCCTGGATTTAGAGCTTTGCATGAATTATCTCATTTAATCCTTCTAGAAATCCCTACCATTAACTGCATTTGCAGAACATTGTAGCTCTGTGGTCCCACAGCTAGTAAAAGGCTGAACTAGGGTTAGAGTTTGGCCTTTTCTGATGTCAAATACTCTGTAATTATAAAATGATGATTAGTCTAAAATTGTTGCACTAGTGTTTTTAAATATTTTAAGTGAATATAAAGTAATATTTGCAAAGGAAAGTCAGAACAAGGTATACTCCAACAAACATTTAGTTCCTACTGTTTTCTACTTTAAGTAAACATCTTCTGACACGTGAACAATGGAAAAAGTTAATCACTATTGTTTAATTTTTGTTGAGTACCACTTATAGGTAAATATTAAAGATAAGAAAATAAATTTGTCCTTGGTAAAATCTGTAAAACTATTGCATTACTTTGATCTTGTGGAAAAACTGATTCTCCTCTTTGTGTTTTTGGACATTATTAACTCTCTTTCTTAATCCTCAAGAATCTGCAATATCATATCCAAAGACACACATTTTCTACTTTCCATCCAACTTGAGAAACTGATAACTAGCAGAAGGCATCACAAATAGCAGCTTGTGGAGGATGCCTCATTATCCTTTTTTCCCTGTGCCACATTGACTCTGACTTCCCCAAATCTCTACCTGTCACATGTTTGACTCATGACTACTCAATGGCTCAGGAGCCAGGATGATATCATCTTTCAAACATTTGTCTTCTCCCAAGGGCCCAAACATCCTCCAGAACTTACTGGGGTCAATCTTCCCATCTGCTAATCAGCCACAAGGGAATGAAGGTGGATGCTCCCAAAGCATTTAGATATCCATGGGTAATCACCCAATGCCCTAAACATCAACCTGCCCAATCCAAGAATTTCCCACATCTGTTGTAAAATAGTCCAGAACCAAACATTGCTCGTAATGGACTCCAAATCCCAGAAAGACCTTTGTATAAACCAAAGATACTGTGGAATCCATCAGTCCATTCTCCACAGGAAGTACAAATAAGCCTGGCTATTCTACTTTTCTGACTTTATTCACAAACTGTCATTTTCCCCCTTTTCCATTATGAGCTAGACTCACCCAGAAACTTCTAGGACTACAGCTTCTTCAAATTGGCAATCTCCTCTGCTTTGGTGAAAAAACTGTGATGGGGATAAGGAAGTAAAAAAAGATTATTACCACTGTTTTCCCTCCAGGGTGCTTTTGTTTTATTGCTCAATTTTATTTTGGTAAGAAGTCAGGCTGCAGCACCTCTAGAGAAAGAATGATTAAATACTGAGAAAATAGCCACTGAAATCCAGAACAAGATTTTTTTTTTCTTATTCTCCCCCAATTTTGTTTTTCTTGCCCCATAACAGTATGTGGTCCCTAAAGTTTTGAGGACTCCAGAGTCTGACCAGGTCCTGACCTTTCTGTCTCCTTCTAAACTGCCAGGGCTCCTAACCCCCACCTGGCCTCTGAGGCCAGCTGATCTGTATTTTCTCCAAGGCCCCTGCAACCTGGCCCTGTGTTGATGTTAGAATTTGGGATGGGGGCCAGTTGAAAATCTTCAAAAAGAGATCTCCTGTGAATCAGCCTCTTGCCAAGGTTGCTGCTTCCTGATGTCTTTGTTAAATTTGCTCTAGTCTCCTTTTGGGCAACTGGAACTCCCTTGATGAGTCTTCTCCACGACTTGTCCAAAGGACTCATCTCTTTCATTTGCAACACAGCTTGTGCTTTGGAAACCTGGTGGAGAACACACAGTGGCAGCCCAAACAAGCAAAGCTGGAGACCGTTCATGTACTCCTGGTCTTCATTCTGGAATGAAGAATATTCAGTGATCTTTCCTTTTATGACTAAAGAGGCAGCCAAAGTTTGCTGCAGACTTTCCTCTACTCATTCAACCCAGAGTCTGGGTCTATCCCTCAATCAGTGTACTATCTTGTTTATAATAAGATATTATGAGCATTGTGTCTTTCGTTGTTTCCTTTGGAACAGACCAAAAAAGTAAAAAGAGTCCCAGGTATGTAAAGATGAAACCTACCAACTACAGACTAGCAGGTTCATGCTAGGTCCGCAGGCAAATGAAATGCACATGTGAATAAGGGATATCCGGGATAAGGTTTTCCTTATCCGGGATATCCTGTAGCCTCCTGCAACCCAAAGTGCACTTCACAGAGCACAAGAGAGCTTATTAGAAATGAATAATTCTGGGCACTTTGAGAAATCTGTTGAACAAGTATCCGAATTTTAATAATATTTCCAGGTGATAAGTATATAGAATAAAGTTTGGAAAATGTACATCCTAACAGTCCTTGTTTCCATATTAAATCACCTACTTCTTTCATGCACACTGTCAGTTTACCCTCACCCAGCTGCAAGCTATGGAGATAAAGATTCAACTTCTTTTTTTAAAATATTTTATAGTGGTTGATGGACCTTTATTTTATTTATTTATATGTGGTGCTGAGAATCAAACCCAGTGCCTCACACATGCTAGGCAAGCACACTACCACTGAACCACAACCCCAGCCCCAAAGATTCAACTTCTTATTCTGTTTATAGACCCTAAAATTGTTAATAGACTTCAGAAACCAGACCAAATGATTTATATTTGTAGAGTGGTTTGCTGGCTTTAAATATATGTCTCAAGGGGCTCGGGTTGTGGCTCAGGGGTAGAGTGCTTGCCTAGCATGTGTGAGGCACTGGGTTCGAGCCTCAGCACCACATAAAAATAAGTAAACAAGATAAAGGTGGTGTGTCTATCTACAATTAAAAAAATTAAAAATCTGTCTCATAGTTTGCTGTATAGATGTGAATAGTTTACTAATTGTTGTGATTTACATCTGGACTGTCCCCACAAAGGCTTGTGTGTTAAAAAACATCATCCCCAGTGCAGCAAGGTTCAGAGGAGGGCTTTTGGGCAAAGATCAGGAGAGCTGTAACTTCACCAATGGGTTAATTCATTTGATAGATTGCTAATTTGAATGGACCATACAGGGTGATAACTGGAGAAAAGTAGGTGTGGCTGAAGGAAGTGGGTCAATGTGGGCACACCCTTAGGGACTGTATATTATCCTTGGCTTCTCCCTCTCTCTCTACTCCTTCCACTCCCTGCTGTCCTGCACAGCCATGCCCATCTACCATAATGTTTCCACCTTGGAGTAAGTTGACCACGGACTGAATTCCCTGAAACTGTGAGTCAAAATAAGCCTTTCCTCCTCTAAGTGGTTGTTGTCAGATACTTTGTTCACAGCAGTGAAAAATACACTAACTCAAAAAATTAGAGCCTTTTGTTCATAATAATAACCTTATCTCATTTTTAAATAATATGAATGGATTCAATATTTTTCATTAAAAATAACATTTCTAAATTCGGGAAACTGGAAAGACAAGGCTAAAAATAAATAGCCTTGTCTCCCTTTTAATTAGTTAGGACTTTTTATTTCCCCCAATCTTTAACTTTCATTCCTTCTTAGATTGTTACCATTTTAGCCTATAGGTCTTTCCTAACAGCCAGTAACAAACAAAATTATGCCATATTATTCTACTGACTATAAGTTTCAGTCTTAGCCTTTCTTTAATTAGCTTTCTCTCCAGAATAGCAAAAACAATAACAATGTTACCTTTAACAATATTGGAAATCCTCAGTTTATTTTTCAACTTAGCTTTACAAAAATTGTACCCACTGAAACCTGTTACCTTCTTGTGTTCTAAATGCCACTTCAAGACACTGCTTGTTGGAAACTTGCCTTGCATCACTATTAAAAAAATGCCTAGGCTAATCAATTTATGAATAGAAAAGGGTTATTTTGACACACAGTCTTCTAGGTCCTAGCCCATGACCAGTTGGCCCCATTGCTTTTGGGCCTGTGGCAGAGCAGTGGACCATGGCAGAAGTATGTGGCAGAGCAAACCCCTCACCTCATCACCAGAGAGCTAAAGAGAGGAAGAAGAAAGGGACAAGGTACCCCTATCCCTTCAAGGGTAAACCCTAACTGACCCAAAAACCTTACACTAGGCCACCCCTCTGGAAGGTTCTATCACCTTTCACTAGTGCTTGTTGGGGACCAATCCTTTAACACCTGGGCCTACAAGGAACAATTAAGATCCAACTGAGCAAAAGCACTGAGCCACATCCCAGCAATTTTTATTTTTTATTTTGAGACAAGGTCTTACTAGGTTGCTTACAACCTAAGTTGCAGAGGCTGGCTTTGAACCTGCAATCTTCCTGCCTCCTCCCCATGAGCTGCTGGGATTATAAGCATTCACCACCAGACCTAATTACAAAAACATTACTTTTCCTAATTCCAAAATAAGGCATGTTAATGATATACAATTAGAAAAATACAAATTGTATATTATATATTTAAAATGAAATTCAAAAGTTATCAATAATGCCCCCATTTAAGTCATCATTGTTGCATGTTTTTTTTTCTTCTCCCCTCCCTTCTTTCTTTCCCATCTTTCTCTGTTTAAAGGATTTTTCCCAAACAAAAAATCACATCATTAAGTGTTGCCATCTGCTTTCTTCTGTTATGCACATTTCAACATCATTTTCCAATAACATTATAAAATAAGACATTATTTTAATGGTATATAATATAAATGTATCCTATGAAAAATCATAATTTATGCGATCATTCTTTTGTAGTATTCTTCAAATATATCTAATTAACATACCATTGTCTGGTTTGTGAATATTTCCTTAGAAAAAATATGCTAAAATAAAATAGCTTGGCTATTGAAACCTTTGAAATTGTCATGAAAGGTCTTTGTAAA